CTCTGGCATCCCAAGCCAGCTCTTAACCATCGCGCCACTTGGCCGGCCCCAGACTCTTCTTATGGTGGGATCAAAGGGAAATAGAAAGGGCAGACGTTAGGGCAATCGTGCCTCAGCTACCATGAGCCCCTAAATTCTAGTGCTGGTTGCCTGCCTCTCTCATTATTTTAGCCTGCTTTGCCCACACTTGTCACAGTTTCCCTATTTTGAACCATCTCCAACAACATTCTCATCATGAGTGGCCTGACCTGTGGTACCCTGCATCCCCACCTCTCTGTATAGCATCTAGATGTGCCTCTGCCAGGATTGTTGGGCCTCTTCTTCTCTTCTGTGCTCTAATGTCTGATAGGTACTAGCAGCCCACCCCCATGTGATGGGGGATGAGGTTCCCACCCTCACCCCAGAAAGCCCAACATCTCATTAACAGCCTTGTCTGGGCAAACCTAGGGTAAATTGCTTTCAAGGTAAAAATATAATTAATATAATAATGTAATATAACATAACAGTTTTATTTTAAGTATGTATAAAACATCAGTGCCCCATCTTTTACCAAAACCTGATTTGTAGATATAAAGATTAACAACTCATATGATTTACTATCAATTATAGAGTAAAAGGATATTAGATAATGAGGCAACTATATATATATATATATATATATATATATATATATATATATATATATATATATATATGTAAATACATAGAAGAAAAAGGTTGGGAGGAAGGAGAAACAATTTTGCTTTCCTTTTGCATAAAGAAAGGTGTCCTCTCCAGAACATTTCAAACTGTTTAATAAATCTTAGTGATTAAAATAAAATTATTAAAGGTAAAATACCACAAAACATGTCCTTAAAATTGATTATTTTGCTTATCACAGTGATTTTAGGGAATTCATTCAAACAAAACATTGGCAGAACCCATAAAACTCCCCAATGTAGCTCTGCTGGAGAACTTGTCATTCATTATACCTGGATATAATACTTTAGATTCTGACTTCACTGCTCATTTTGGCTCTCCTGGAAATAGATTCCAGCTTTCTGATTACCGACCATCAGCTCCTCACCAGCCCCGCAGGGTGCCTGCCTGCAGTTTCCTTAACCAAGCTGCCCCGTAGATCAGCCTGCTCCTGCTGTGTTCACTTCCAAATGACCTTTCATTAGCAGTACCTGACCATATGCAGATTACCCAAATGGAAACCTGTGCAAAGAGATACCTAATGAGCCTCTTATCTTCTTGGGAAGAAAGAGATTTACTCAGACTCAACACTGTGCCTGTATTCTAGAAAATGCTGTTTGGATGAGTAAATGAAATAAATGTATTTCAAAAGAGATGTGCACATGAAATGGCCTTGGACAAGAAATCAGAATGTCCCAGATCTGGGTCTGACTCTGCCATGAACTAACTAGCCGTGATACCTTAGGCAAGTCATTTCTTGTTGGATATCTTTTACCCCCATCAGTAAAGGAAGGTGCAGAACTAGACTTCTGAGATCCCTTGTAGCTCTAAGTATCCTCTGATTCTTTCCTTTTTAAAATGATGTTAGCACATCCCTAGTAGTGCCCCCAAAGCATTACTCCCTCTCTCCCTATATCTATTCCTGGGATAAAGTTAAACTTTGGTTCCTAAGCAAATTTCCAAGCTCCCTCAGGGGTCATTCAAAGTCTCAGCTTGCTTAGAGCTTGTTGGTTTTGCCTAGAATTATCAGCCAGTCTCAGCCAGTAGAGCGGTGTTATTGTTTCGAGGCATCCCCTAGTATAATAACAACTCCAGGCACTGCAGAGGTGATCCATGTGCCCCAGCTCCCTGGGGAATTTTCCCACTTCAGTCTGTCCAGCATGTGCCTTTTCCTCTGTCTCTCTGCCTTCACCCACAGGAAAGAATCATGAAGAGAGTCCAGGATTTAGGGAAAATAGTATGTTGACGTACAGCTACCCTAGTCTCCCACCTCACTTAATAAATGGAGAAGGCAAAACCAAATGTAGTGATGACATGGCTCCACTGGGGGAAAAAAGAAAAAAAAATCTTAATGAATAATTCCAAACCAATATCTTAATTCTTCTCTTCCATTGAATCTTATTCCCTTACAGCTTTACCCCTCAGAAGCGTTCAGAATGTAACTTTACCTTCTTGGACCAATTTATATTTGGGGGGTGGGACAATTTCTATTTAAAAATTAACTTAATAATTTCCACATCACTTTCAAACTTTTAATGGTTACTTTTAAGATACTGTAAAAATATACATAGGTATACTTTAAAACATTTTAGACAACTGCTTCCTTTTACTTTCAAGAGAAAGTAGGTTGCAAGCTGGATAAAAAAAGATCTTCTGCAAGTTGTATAAATAAAATCCCCACTTTTTCCCACTTCAGTCTCAATATACTAACAAGAAAACAAGGGTATACTAACTTGAAATTCTGCCTCTGAAAGACTGCCAGGCTTTGAGTCCTACCACACTAAACGTAATCCTAAATTGATTTGCTAAAATAAATATAGAGGGAATTGTATAATCAATTTCCTTCAAAGACAGCCTGGGATGCCATCTGCTGATCCCATTTATGATACCAATGCTTTGGGAAGGACTTGCAGAAAAAAATGTGCATATTATTTTATAAGAAAAACTGAATTTTTACCCAGGATGAGTCTTCTTTAATTTATTTTAAGGAATCAACTTCAGGTGACACTGAGCTGTTTCCTGGAGTAAAGTGCACTTTCAAAACATAAAGAATCATTTTCATTAAAAAATATTTCAGTGACTGAAGTCAATCTTCTAAGGAATCAGTTTTCCTTTTGATTCATAAATAATAATTTCATTATTATTTTTAAAACATAACATAACTTTAATTTTTGTAGTTCTTGACCATTTTCAAAGCCTTCCACACATGTAAAATGATAGATGCTTCCCCCACCTCCCCTTCTGGTCCCCCTGGCATTCCCTGCACAGGTGCTTTGGGTTATAATGCACAGCAGGAGGAATTCAAAATCTCAGCTCAGCCCCTAGGAATGAGTTCAGCAAACCAAAGACAATCTGCTCATAAGCAGACACTAGATACTCGAAACTAATTGGTCCCTCCTCTTTTTCAACAACCCCGCCAGAACTCCCTCATTACTGAAAACTTTCTAGGAGAGAAACAATTGTATTAGAACAATATACTTAACTTTCTAGAGATACTGCAGCACTTGGAAGGTAAACTTTTTCAAAGTTTGGGATATATGAAAGAGTTACAGCTGAATCCCACTTTCCTCTATTCCCCCCCACCCCACTTCATTCCTGATATACCCACAAGGGAACAGGCTAATTTCATACTGCATCTGAAAGACTGCCAGACCTCAGAGTCTATCACATAAAGCTTGAAATTCTCTAGAGATCTGCTCCTGTATTATTGCAGGGTAACAGAAAAGAACAGATGAAAACAGGAACTTATCCTTGTATTACACTTGCTGCCTCATTTTAATTGGCAAAACTTATAACCCTTTCCTTGGAAGATTATGTTGTATTTGACTAAGGCTTTCTGACAATCTTTAAAGACATTAAAAGCCAGAGGTTTTATTTATTTATTTATTCATTTTTCTTCCATGATATTCCTCTTTGAAAGAGTCTCATTGGACATTGTAAGAAAAAACAATGAGACCAAACTATGGATTTGTTTACAATCTCTGCTCTCTTTCCCATGAGTATAGATCAACACTTCTCAAATTCCCCTGGTAATGAAGTAGATCATGACCCAAGGATTTACTTTATCCCCAATGTCACAGCAAGGCCAGAACTAAGTCAGTAAATGAAGTTTGGTAACTAGCTTTCTGACGATGGTGAGCAAATCACACAGCCTTCTATTATCATACAAATCCAAACTCCCCACAACCTTCACTCCCCCGTAACTACACACTGACCTGTCATTCAAAGGGAAAGTTAAAGAGGTTATCATGAGCATGTATCTCCTCAAAAAAGACAAGCTTGACTGATTAAACTCAGGTTATTCCAGGGTGAGAGAAACTTTTAAGATCATCTAGTGTAGATTCCTGACTCAGCTGAAGAGTTCTAGGCCTAGATTGGAACATGACTTGTTAACATGCAAACATACAGTGATTCAGTAGCTAAACTAGCATGAAAATCACACTTTTGTAGACAATGCTTTTGTCTCAACCTTTGATTATCAAGATTAACATTTGAACTGTTCCCTGCTGATTTCCTTAAAATCATTGTTAGACTGCTATCTGTGAGATCCTTAGAAGTCCCTGAGGCCTTTTCAAACCCCTTCTCCCACTTCAGCCAGAGCTCTTGTATTTTTATTTGCATATAACGAATTAAACAAAACAAAACAAAACCCAAATACTGCTGCTTTTAAGCTTTGAAAAAAAAACCTCACTTCAAAGGTGCCATACTTCTAGCCAAGGCACCCTCATAAAAGTCCAGGCAAGATCTGGGAAGAAGACATTCCTGAGAACAGCAAATATACAGAGGGTGTCAAAAAAAGTATACACATTTTAAGAAAGGAAAACTGTATTAAAATTGTAATAGTCAATGTATACCAATAACAAAAGATGACTACAAGTCTCATTTGACTTCTGCAATTACAAGAAGTGCTCAAAGCGGTTACCATTAGTGTCCAGATACTTCTGATTACAGCGAACTACTGCTTGAACAACATTGACCAAAGTGTCCACTTGTATACATTTTTTGGCACTCCCGATAGATAGATATACTGGGATGTCAAAAAAATGTACAGAAGTCAAACGTGATTTGTGTTCGTCTTTAGTTGTTGGTATATATTGAGTACTACAATTTTAATAGTATTTTTTTGTTTCTTAAAATGTATATACATTTTTTTGACATGTATACAAAATTTGGTATATATACAAAATTTCTCAAGGTTCCAAAGTTGAAAACATTTATATTGTTTAACTGCACATGACTTCATACATTGTTTTTGCTTTTATTTTCCATTATATCCGTGGTGTGCTCAGATTTCCATGAAAGTGATTATTATTTCTTTTTAGGTTATGAGTCAAGATGGCCAAGGAAGCAATCAGCTGAAAATGGATCTAAATATATGGAACTTCAATCAGGGATCAGGGATGGATTCTGAGCAATAATTTTACATCCAAAAGGTAAATTCACATCCTTGATTTAGAGTCTGTTTCTGAGAAAACTCAATCTAAATCAGATAATATTCATAATAATAGAAAACACAAAAATAGGTCAAGTTGAGGTTGGGAGTTGGAAGGAAAGGATCAACACTGATTTTTGACATTTTGAGTGAAGTTGGAATTTTTATTATTATCCATATGTAACTGAATCAAACCCATGCAAAACATAAAATATATTTTGAATTAATTGATAAGATAACTTGTAAATGCTGCCAAATTGTTAGAATTTTTCTTCTGCAAATATTTTATATTTGTATATTCAATTTTGTTTTTAAACATTCTTTATCCATCAAACTGATTGAAAATCAAAGCACCTGAGGGCTGTGGTTTACGCACATACCAATACAATCCAAGACTGAATTCCAAAGTTCCTCTGAAATGGTTCCATTTTTAACAGAGAAAACAGGAAAATAAAATTCCTCCCTTAAACCAAACACGCCAAATAAAATGTCAACAGAATCAGAGTTAAATTCAAAATCTGTAGCCTTAGGGGATAGGAAAAAATACGAATATCAATATTTGATCTACAAGTTGGGGAGGAATTTCTGAAACATGAAAGGAAATACAGTTACAAAGTAACAGATTAATAGATTTAACTATATGAATATTTTTTCAATATTAAAATTAAATATAATCAGCTGAAAAATGTCAATGTATAGTATATACAAAGGGTTATCATCATTAACGTAAAGAGTTCATATAAATCAAAAGGATGAATGCTTCAACTATAAAAGAGCAAGAGACAAAGACAACACAAATGAATAACAAAACAATGTGTTAAATTTTTGAAATGTTCCATTTTTACTTATCAAATTGATAAACTTTTTAAATAATAGTGGCTAGAATTTATATGAATTACTATTTTCATCCTCTCTGGGAAGTATACTCTAAATTGTATACTCTAAATTTAGAGTATACTCTAAATTGGTATGGATCTGCAATTCTTTATTCACACTTTCAAAGTTCAAAGGCTTTCACAGGTTATTTGGTGGCAAAACTTGAACTGATGTGAGGCTACTTACGGTTTTTATTTATTCTACTTAGTGAGACTCTTAATACATTTTGCTAAGAAAATGTTAATGGGTGTAATGGATATGTTTTCCTGTACCTAATAAAGATCGTTATCTAATAGGAGGTAAATGTAACATATTATCTTTCTAAAATCCCAAAATTTCTAAATTGCAAAACATAAATGACTCTAAGAATAAGGATTATGGACCTGGACTTTAATTTTGGAGAACAGGACAATTTGTCAGTATGGATCTAGTGTCTTGGAAAGGTTCTACCTTTGACTTAATAATAATATTTTTAGAAACATATTATAAGGAAAAATAGTCAGCAACATGCAGGAATATTTATAAGTAAGGATATTCATCAGAGTGTTATATCTAATATTAAGAAATTGAAAATAACCTGTATGTTCATCAATAGGATAATATAAGATAAACAATGGTGTCAAGAAATTCTAGGATACCATTGGAAAAGCATAATTTCAATGAAATAGTATGACAGGTACCAGAGTTGAAGTAAGAACAAAACACATGAGTACACATGAAACAATAATGCCAACTGTATATTTGCAGAAAAAAATACTTCAAGGAAATTATCATCTCTAGAAAGTAGAATTATGGGTTCTTTCAATTTTTAAAAACATAAATCTTGTATTTTATGAATTCTCCACAAATCACGTATGGTTAATACAAACAGAAAAAGTGCATTCTATTTAATTTTAAGTTTTGAGATCCTTTTTAATTATTTGAATTCAGAAAACACCTTTCAAAAATAGAAACTCATGGGCTGGCCGAGTGGCTGAGTTGGTTAAGAGTTGGCTCAAGAGAGCGAGCTCTGAGGAACATGGCCGCTGGTTCGATTCCCACATGGGCCAGTGATGCTGCGCCTGAGCTGAGCTGCCGCTGAGCTGCCAACAGGTGGCAGGATGGCTCAGTTGGAAAAATAAATAAATAAAAAATAAAGGCTCATACTTAGACATTTGACTAATATTTGATAACTCAGACTCCCAGACTTTAATAATCATATGTCATGTTATTAGCCTATGGAACAAAAAGAAAATACTTTTCATCCAGCAATTGTTGACACACTCAGGCATATATTTCATGGTATTTGTTATTATTTTTCATTTATTTTAATGAAATCTAAAAAGAGCCTTGGACATAGCTTAAACCTTAAAATTAAAAATTACAAAATGTTGGGAGTACTACCTTATGTTTATGTAGCTTTTTACAGTTTTCCCAGCACTGTCACATCTGTTTTCTAATTTGCTCTTTATGTGTATTTCTGTGATTTGAGATTTTATAAAAATAAAGTTTAAAAAATGCAAAACTACAAAGAATAACATAAATTCCTGAGTTTTCACAACCTGGTATTCATAACTGTTAACATTTTGTCATTTTTATAAAAAAAAAAGTATGAACACACTCTGGCTAAAATTAAATTCCTCTTTGATTATTTTCCAGTCTACATCTACACATGTATCTCAAATATATGTGCATAAGTATATAATATATCTCTCCATGAACAATATATAGTATTCTTTTGTGTTATGTGTGTGGAGTATTTTAAATTCTACATAATTTTATACTGTACGTGTTCTTCCTCTGATTTTCATTTTAATATTATATTTTAAGATTTATCCTTACACACACACACACACACACACACACACACACACACACACATTATTCTATTGTGTAAACTATTTTCTCTTCAAAAATAACCCTAAAAGGTAGACAAAGCAAGGATTTGTATCCTGCTTTACACATGAGATGTTAAATAAATTACCAAAATGCATATGACAAGAGTCTTAATTGGACTTGTTGTAATGCTAGTTCATTGTTTGGTATTTCTTCTCTGATAAAAAGTATTTTTAGATAGAAAAGCTAAGCTTATAGAAACATGGAAATTCATCATTCGTTACCAATTGCTGTTGCCCTGGAGGACATCTCAAGATTTGTCTCTTCTTCAGGAATCAAGATACTTGGAAACAATGACTTTAACTTTTGCTAATATAACTCGAATGGTGAACTGATGACATAAATGAAACATAACTGTATGTGCATCTCCCACTGTCCCTTAAATTTTAAGGAGTAAGTCTTCCCAGGCCCTGGGTAATGCATCCACAAGCCTCATGGCTTCAATTGTTAGTTTATAGATTACTTTAAGTGTAAACACAGGCTAAATTTAGACATTATAATTTTCTGTCCAAGATACTAGCCAAATTCCTGAAACTGTCATAGCAGCTAATTGCTCCCCTGGCCAATGTTGGTCTACTGCAGGCTAGAGGCCTGCTGTGGGGAAAGGCGTGGGCTAAGGGTGACGAGGTCCTTCTGTCTCTAGTCCCTCCCTGCTTGCTTTTCTGCCCACGCACTAGCTGATTTCAGGTTTCCTTCTCTACCAGATTGTAAGCAGGAAAAGAAGGGGAGATAAAAGGTAGGACATTTCATACTTGATGACCGGGTGGCTTTCCTCCCCTTGGATAGGAATGTGTTAATCAGAGCTGAACATTTCTCTTGGTGAAGTGTTTGTTCTGTGGAGATTCTTTGCTGAATCTCTCATTTAAATTCCCTGGGCACCTCGATTCCAGTTGGCTACTTGTACTTCTTCCTTATGCACCTGGTTATCCAAAGTTACAGATACAGTCTTTTTCTCTGAGGTCTTCTTGCCAACCCCCCCCCTCCTCCAGGCAGGCCTTTTGGACTGGACGGAGAAGGCCCTTTGCTGACTGTCTCTCCTCTGACCTTACCTGACCCTTGGAAAGAGTCAAGCATTCCTTAGCCAGTGAGGAATGATGAAAAGCAATGCAGAAAGCCTCTCCATGCTCTCCCACCAAAGCCAAGCCTGTTTGTTTCCCGTTAGACTTCCCAATGTACAGCTTGAGAAAGCTTTCTTCAGGGCAAGCACTGTGCTTTGTATCACCCAGTTTTGGAAAACATTTCAAGCTCTTTCAGTTACTGCTCTGAAACCCCTCTCCTTATATTCAGGGTAAGAAGTTAGCCCCCTCCCCCAAATGGATGGGGTGAATATGGAGAGCATAACAACATGTTTCCAAAGAAATTTTTTTGCAAATCCCTTGATCACACACACATACCTTCCCTTCCAGTCTCTGTTTTTATTCTTGATCTGCCTGAAAGATTCCGTAGTCCAGGTATCATTTCATGTAAAATACTGTATTGATCAGAAAGGGTTTGTTTTATACTTTGATAACAAATATTTATCTTATTTGACCTCAGTCAAAAACGAGGCAGGAAAAATCCCATTCTAATTTTTTGTGTTACCTGACCAAGTGACACAAGGCAAATTATTTAACAACTCTGCAATTTCCCCATATTTAAAATGAGGATTAAATGAGATAATGGAATAATAATAGAATCTAACTCTTAAGGTTGTTGTGATGATTTCATGAGTTAATACATATAATGGCTTAAAAGATGTCTGGCTGTCATAAGAACACAGTAATTGTCATTTGTTATTATTTATTTTTCAAAATTCAACTGAACTGACATTCCCCTACCAAGCTTTTTAAAATTTATGCTGTCAGTGATAAACATTCCTTCCTTGATGTTTCCAAAACAACTTAGGTGCGTTCTGTCTCTTGGTGTTTTCAAATTTGGGTACCATGTTCCTATAAATAGACATTTGTGTATTTGTCTTCTCCTTTAACCCTTCAAGCCAGGGACTATGATATATTTATTTTTATTTCCCAAGCATTTAGCATATTTGATAAATGAACAAATGGACAGGACAGCTAAGATGGCTAGCCACTCAAAATCAGGTAGATTAGATAGAACAATTTGCTTACTATTGTCAGCAGATGGCCAACTTTGCTGAGGTAGATGAATGAATAAAGAAAGCCTGCAATGCAAACAAGTCCCTGAAAGCTCTAGGAGAGTATGGTAGTATGCATAGCTTACACATTACTCTGCCAATATTTTCTTATTAAGGTCTTAAGAATTTGTTACAAAAACAGACTAAAGAAGCATTGGACTCTGCTAAGTGTTTAATGATACTGGGTTGTGTTTAAAAAGGACAGTATTATAAATATAATATTTTTATAATCATTCCATGTGGGTAATTTATTCAAAGAATGTAAGTCTAAACAATGGTGGTATCCATTGTTCCCTCTTACACTTGGGTAATTCTAGCTGATCATTATACTCCAGGCCTCAAAGAGAGAAAATGAAAATTCATAATTAATCAAATTAGCCAGATGATGAAACTGTTTAGTATTAACACTGAAAGGTAAGATAAAATTAGAAAAAATCTCTATTTGTAATTACCTTGGACTTATAATGAATATGGATAAAAGATTATAACACATATAGAATTGAATACAGTAGAATTATATATTTTTTTAATTCATAAAGAAGTTTTAGTATTAAATTAATTCTTTAAAAGTAACATAAGGTTGAGACAGACCATTTTAAAACAAGTAATAAAGGTTAATTGGGACTGAAAGACATCCAAACAGAAAGAAAATTGATTTCCTTGATATTCAAAAACAATTTAATTATTTTTTAAATGGATACTTTCTGCAGTTATATAAGGGAGCTGCTAAAAACATTAATAATTAAGAAAATAATAGTAAATAAGGTTTTTATTTATTATTTGTTTTCCCTGTTTTAGTCAAAACATTCCATTTATTTAGTTCCATCAGAACTGAAGCTTTTGGGAATGTTTTGAGCTATGAAAAGTAAGTTATGTTAACCTTCACAGTTCTCCATGAATTCTTCTCCATAGCACGGCTTGAGAACTGCTGTAGAAGATTTGCTGGAACTTTGGATATGTCCTCTTGGGAAACTGCTATCCTGCCTGCTTCAGTCCTAAGATAAGGAGCCCCCAAAAGGTCTGGATGGTAACGTGGAGAATGAAGGCCTGATTTGGATGCAATCTGTCTTCACCTTGCTACTGGGCTTTGGGTAGGTAATTCAAGCTCAGCTTTAGTTATGAAATGGAACATATGTTTAATTATTGGTAAATTTTAGAGGAGTATATTTACTTCCCAGAGTTATTTTAAAGCTTAAGGTTGTCAATCTTTATTAAGTGCCTTAGAAATGCACTTAGATTAGAAATGCACTACAATAAGATTATTATTCTAGTAATAGATTTTGATTATAAGGAACATAATAAACCAGTTCAAATAAAGGGATAAATGGGCAATACTCTTCATGGTGTGTGTGTGGTGGTGGTGGTGGTGGGGCAGTGAACCCACTCTCCTCTGTTCGCAACTTGAATATACTAGTATAATCCAGTTCAACTCAGAGGGACATACCCCTTGTCACCAGATATAGGCACCTTTATTTTGGTGTATGAAAAGTTGAAGCACAGGAAAGGTATTTAAATCACTCACAGTTTGACTGGATGTTTGAATCAGAAGTATAGGCAGGACAATATTTCTCTTTATATAAGGGCAGGTTTTCCTAAGAGATCAACAGCTGGCCAACGGGCTGAGTCAGTTCTGTTGCAAACAGCCCTGAGCACTTGATCGGCCCTTCTCCAGGTCCTCAGGCCCTGCTGGTTTATAAGCCTCAGATGACCTGTGAACCCCTCTGAAGGATGGAGCTCATGAAGCATTTTTCCCACTCACACAACCCCTCTTCTTTAGGCTTTCTCTTTTAGACATTCTCATTCAGTTTCTTGTCCTGTCTGGGCTTAATGACTAACGAGAAAGAGCTTAATGTCCAAAGAGATGGAACCTCGTGATTTATCAACACAAAATACATTTTATACCCTCATTGAATGTATGGAGTCAAATCATTAGACACACAACTGCTGTTCTATCATATCTGGAGAAGGGAGAAAAATGTATTTCCTTCTTGACACATCAAGAGTTAACAACTAGGATTTCTTGATAAAGCAGTAAAAATAAGGAAATACATAAAAATTCAACACACAAGCAGAGTTTCCCTACCCTGTCCCAATACTACAGGCACTTGTGCAGATTTCCAAGTGAGGAAATAGCATACTCTACCAAGGCCTCATATATAGTAGAGCTAGAACGCCATGTACTGAGATTATCAGAGGCCACCATGTTTTCCCCATTGCTCCTTCTGTATGCACATTATAGCGCCATTCTCCTCTTAGTTATTCAGCTTCCTCTCCTTATTCATTTTGCACATAATCATTATGACAGTGATCCCTGGCTATACATCATGATGTCTTTAGTCTGGCCCCTATCTTCAGCTGAAACATTCTCTAGGTATCTTAGATCACAGAGACAAATAGATTGGCCCAAATCAGTGGCTATATCTACTGTCAACTCCCTGAAAATGCCACTGAGATAATCAGTTGACCACTAAAATAACCTCTTGATAAAGGAAAGCAGATTTTGTTGCTTAACACAATAAGGGAGGCCAATATTCCAACAGTCACAGTAACATCTCTAAAGAGAGGGATGGCAAGGGTGGGATATCCATGAGAATTTGGAGATCTAATTTGACATTAGTTTTTCAATGCTGAAGCCAACTTGAATTTTGTGAATTGAAGTATGTGACATAAGAGTTTAAGGTTTGTGGACACAGAGAAACAAGAGTCTTGAATAAACAATCTTTCGATGAGCTTACTGAACTTACCTATTGTCCTAAGGAGGAGTAAGAGAGAGAGCTGAGTAGTCTGATGTTCAGATAAAGGGATTTGGGAGCTAGTTCTTGAAGCTATGAAGTCATTTGGAACTTCATCTTCCTAGGCTAGGCTTTCCTAAAGTCACATGTTAATTTAGACAGGAAGTTGTGTGTTTTAGATGGTTTTCTGTTCCCGATTGTCAATGCTGGTGATTATTAGAATCACTTGGAGGGGTGTTGGCATTCAAAAATATACCTTGTCCCACATTGGGCAACTAAATATTTATTTTTAGAGGATGTGCGTGGGCATTGGTAAATTTTTAAAAGTTTCCCAGGTGATTCTAATGTTTATCCAAGGTAGTAAACCAATGACCTAGATCGTTTTTTGAAGCTAAGCCACATAAACCATATACATATGACCACCCAAGATTTTGCCATGTTTGATCACATATCCATCTGTGGTGGTGAAAGAGGGGAGAAGGAAGCTGGGACATGTAAAATATGAGGTTGTTCCTTCTAAGGACTGTGGGTATGGCAGGTAACTGGAAATTTGTCTCCTAAAAGTATTTATCATCCCTTGGGAGTGTCTGATCTGAGGTGTTGTGCACTCCACCCACATTTTTAATCCAGGTGTTAGAAGGCCAACACCCCTGCAAGCCACAGAGGTTTAAATTGCCAGGACATGAGTGTGTCAGGAGCTTGTACAGGCTGGATACACCAGGTATCCTTGATGATTAGAAGTGGGTGGAGACAGCAGAGGGGCATCTTGTTTTTCCTGGGCCATGGCCCAGAGGCTCTAAAAGCCAGACACTGGAAAGGTGATGAATCAGCTAATCAGTGCAGGAGTGCCAGATTCTGGTCAGGAAGAAGCTACGGGAAGCAGCAGGGAGATGGAGAAGTGGGAGTGGCTAGAGTCCTGCCAGGGCACCGAGGGGTTTGGCAGGAATTTAGACTGGTATCCCCTGGTGCTCTTGGTGCAAGAAGGCAAGCTGAGTAGAAGCTAGTGTTGAGGCACTGGGGAGAGCATTAGGAAGAAAGAAGACATATTAGAGAAGAAGAAAAAAGGCCCAGGGGTAACTGCTGGTGGTGCTTTGATCTCAGGCTACTTTGCAAAAGTAGAGCTGTAAGGACTGTGTACAATGACCAACCACAGTCAGCTGGAAATAGAGGGTTGGGAGCAGAAAATGGGAAGGGACAATTCTTCAGTGTTTTTCCCAATGCTACCAAGACAAAAACCAAAACAAAACTTGTTGAGGCCAAATGAATAAAGAGTACCTCAGTGTCATTCTCAGAGAGGAGCCTGATGGCCTCGGTTCAATGCAGTCGCTACGTGTGGACCAGGAAAATCAGAAGGGAAGTTAAGCAGCCACAATATTGAATAATAATGATAATGATAATTTAAGTACCAAAAAAAAAAACCAAGGTGTGGTAAGATTAGAGACAAAGCGATGTCATATACTGCTAATTTATAAATAAAACCCCCTGAAAGAATGATCTGGCCTCAGAACATGACCTAACAATTCCACTTCTAGGTATAACTCCTGAATAAATTCTTACACATGTACACAGGAAGACATTTACAAGAATGCTCATTAGAATCATTATAAAGCAAAAAATTAGAAATAGTCCCAATGGCTAAAGAATGGCTAAATTAGTTATGATACATTTATATGAGGAAATACCACATATTAATTAAAATAAATAACTTAGACTAGAAGAATTGACATTCATGGATAATAAATGAAAAGGCAAGTTAAAAAGTACATTCAGTATGGTTATATATATATATATATATATATATATATATATACATATATATATATATTTCTAAAAAACACATTAAAGAGTAATATATGTCATTTATGATACACATGTGTATTTAGAAAAGATATAAAAATATAGAGTGCATATGCACTAAATCCAGGAGAACAATTGCCTCTGGAGAAAGAAATGAGGCTTGGAATGATGTAACGACTTAATGTATAATATTTTATTTTTAAAAATCTGGAGCATATGTAATATATTGTTATCAAATTGGTAGGCATGAGTGTATATTTTCTTTTGGCTTTACTGACCTTGAAACAAACTAACAAACAATAAATATGCAAACAACAAAAAGCTCAATCACAAGATGTTCTTCACAACATTTGGTGAATTGTATTAATTCAATTTATCAAATGCAGTATAGGACACTTAGATGCCCAGGATAGTATTTAGTTTATGCTCCCAAGGAACTCACAGTGTCTAACACACACACACACACACACACACACACACACACACACACACACGAAGAAAATAATTACACATGCATAATTATAAGTGTAAATATAAACTTTTATGGAAACACATATGAAACAGATATTAATTTTTATTAAGGAAGGAGAATAAAAAACTACAATGCAGATAAAACATTTTAGATTGGCTACTAGTAAAAGTAGTTTTTATAGCAGGTAAAAGAAGAAATGGTGTTTAGGAAGGTGGAACAACATGAATAAAAAGGTATAAGATATAAAACATGGAAAAAATTTATTTTCCATAAAGCTAAATAAAAACTTTTAGTACATGTTATCTGGCAACATAATGACAGCAAGACAAGTGACAAGTGAAGTGACAGTGAGTGACATTTCTGCAGAAAACATGACAGTGAATAAATGCTTCTGCAAAAAATAAAATAGTACAGTTGATGTAAGAAGTAAGGGTCTTAATGCTCAAATCAATCCAATCATTTACAAAAACATTATCTCCAACTATTTACAAATATATGTTCGTATGATCTTAAAGATAAGTTTTCATACTAAAACCTTTCAATAACGCTGTTGATTAATCATGTTCTACCTTTTGGTACTTTTGGTACCATCTCCTACACTTTGAGGGCACACAGTAGGGGCATAAAAGTTTGCTACTGTATAGTTATCCCATGAAATGTGAGCTAGCTACAAAGCACAGTCAGTATTAACAAACAGGCTGTTTCTATTACAGTTTATTTTATGAGTACAACCTTTGTTCCTATCATACATGTAAGTTAAATGGCAAATCAAATCACATTTCTTTAAAGCTTGCACATTTTAAGAACACTTTAACAGAGGAAAATGAAAAGGATAAATGTAAGCAAGTGAACAGATGCTTTCATTGACAGTGACATATACAGTACCTGATAACTCATCTAGCACAAAGGCTGTGTTTTCATTTCCTGAGAGGATAATGTATGGTACCCTTTCATTCCTTCCTACATCCGGATCTTCAGAGGTTACTTGGTGTACCAAGGAGCCCACTGAGGCATACTCTCTGACAAGCGCAATGAGGAAAGACATGAAAATATGGCCGTGGTCATTTACATCCAAAATTACTTCTTTTGC